CCAGACCCCCTCAGCCACCACCCCCAGGCGGGAAGCCGGAGCGGCCCCCAAAGCCAGGCCCCCCAGCCCAGCCCCGAGCCACGGAACGGCCTGACCAGTATGGCCCTAACATCTGCGACGGGGACTTTGACACAGTAGCCATGCTGCGTGGGGAGATGTTCGTGTTCAAGGTCTGGCCCCTGCCCGTGTCTCCCCTGATCCCTTGGCTCGGTCTCAGAGCAGGAGAGCAGCCCCCACATCCCACCCCTGCATCTTTGCCCCACCTGACTGCCCGAGCGCACCCACCCCTCCCTCACTGAGCAGCCCCTGGGGAGCCCTCAGACCCTAGACCAAGAAGAAACCAGCCTGAGGGACACGGGACTTGCTCAGGGTCACACAGCGAGTGCAGGGGTCCACACCCCGCCCAGGGCTCACTTATGGGTGCTGCCCTGGCTTTCCAAGCCACCCCTCCGGATCTCCCTGACCTAGGAAGGGGCAGCCGGACGAGGGGCCTCTCCCGGTATGAGGGAGCGAGCTTGCCCTGCCCGCTCACACCCACGCCCTCCCCAGGGCCGCTGGTTCTGGCGGGTCCGGCACAACCGCGTCCTGGACAACTATCCCATGCCCATTGGGCACTTCTGGCGTGGCCTGCCCAGTGACATCAGTGCTGCCTACGAGCGCCAAGATGGACGCTTTGTCTTTTTTAAAGGTAAGCTGGGGTAGGTGGGAGGGCAGGGCGGCCTCCCTTCCCTGACCTCTGGCCTGGCCTCTGACCCAGCGGGCCCGAAGGAGGGGGAGAGCGAAGGGCTACATGGCATGTCCACAGTGTGGGGAGCCGAGTCAAGGCAGGGGTGGGGCAGGAGGAGACAGAAACCTGGGGACAGGGGGACCTGGGCCCCTGGGGGCCAGCGGCTGCTCTGACTGGAGGTGAGCGTCCATCTGTAGCACAGGGGCTCCGCATGTGACTCCTCCTTCCTTGCGTCTTGTGCCTCCTGCAGCCCCTCCTCATAAGGCAAGAGCCCCCCCCCCCCCCCCCC